GAAATTCTATAATATTTAATAGAGCTTTCTCATAGTACACATTGGCAGTTAGCTTCAGTGGTAAATTACACTTGCTCCAGGCAGTCACTATTTAAGGCCTTCAGTCAGCATTACTAGATGACTTCTTGAAGGGATTCAAGATAAGTCTACTATGCATCTAAATGCCTATTTTCTGCCTATTTTCTGGCAGTCTTTAAATTTGCATCTGCTCTTGCTTGACAGTTTTAAAGTGATTCAGTTTAGGTGAGAATTGCTTCTCTGCATCCACAAAACAAGAATACAGTGGGATGTGTCTAAATATTACTCAGGAAAAGGCTTGACATGTAGAACATGAGAACTTAGCCTTCTGAAGTGTCCTGATTTTGAATTACCACTTCATGAGTAATTCAGGACCTTTTTTATAACTTTTCTTTTTCATATTCTTTTTTCCCTCCTTATTGAATCAGGAAAGAGAGCTTTGTATATAAAAGGCTTAAGCTTATGAAATGTAATTACTCAGAAAAGCTTGGATCAAATGGAAAAAGTGGAGTATGCCATCTGGAGTTTACAGATTCTCCATTTTTTGTAAAATCATTAGGAAGCAGCTCTGTTCAGCAACTCTAAACTGTACAAATCAAAAAGTGGTTTATATAAGTGGAGTGCTAAAAAAAAAAGGTTTATGTTGAATACATCTAAAAATGTTTTGTTGGAAACTAATACAAGTATTACAATATGAGAGTTTATAATTGAGGAAATCATTCTGCCAATGCATTTCTTCCACTTCTGCAGGACACTTTCAAGTTCTTTATAAATTAGGTAAATGCCTTTGTTTCTTCATGAAGATTGCTTTTTTTGTTTTGTAGTAAGTTAAGCTAAGACTTAAACATTTGTCTTAAATTTCTTCAAGTGAAACAAAATGTATTAAGAAAAAAACAAAATAAAAACATAACCAATAAGAAACAAACAACAAAACTTATAAAGCACCTCTTCCTTTGTATTCCAGGATAAGACATGAAGACTAGATTACAGTTTTAAAAAAATCTTGTTCTTGTCTTTATGAATTCCACACAGATGAAACAAGTGCAAGAGGCAGAGCTTAAAGCATCAGCAAATGAAAGAGAAGTACAGTTACTTCGAATATCCTTCCGACAGCAGAAGGAGAAGGTAAAACAACTACATGAACTTCTCATATTAAGAGAGCAAGAGCAAAGGTATTGGGTCATCTGTTTTCTTTTCACAAGTTAATAGAGATGCTACTGTTGTAAATATACTGTGTTTAAATGTGTTCTAAAGTATGGATGTGTTTTAGTTTGGATTTGTTTTGTGGTTTGGTTTTTTTTTTTTTTTAAGTAATGTGAGAGCTGGTCGTTGTAAAAATGTAAATGTCTTCCCACACATTTTCTTGCTTGTTTAAGAATACCTTCATATCTCATAGATTCCTGACTCATAAGTTCATGTAAGCAACTTCCATTTGATAGGTTCTTGTCTTATTATATGGTTGAACTCTTTATTTGAAATACTTGATCTGTAATCCAGGAAAAATCAGATAAAAATAAAATTGTATCTGAATTACTGTCTGAGGAGTTAGATATACTACAATAACACAAAGTATTCAAAAAAAAATAAGTCAGCTTCTGCAGTATCCTGCTTGTGGGTGTGAGTTACTTCTGGCTGATTTCCTCTTCCAAAATTTCCCTGTGGTACAGTAATATGTGAGAAAGGGTACTAATAAAATAAGCTGGTTAAATTTGCTTAATTTTACATGGGTCCCCATTGCTGCTGCTTTTTGGGTTCTGAGTCTTGAGTGAGAAGCAACAGTTGTTGGTTGGGTGAGGGTGAAGAGAATGACTGCAAAAGAGGGTGTCTGGCTACTCAGGGCTTTTCTCTGATTCCAGTGTCACTTCCAGATGTTTGACAGCAAAGCTAATAAATGCTAACTAAAAGCAAAAGAGCAATTTAGTAATTTCTACAAAAGTTTGAATTAAAGAATAAGGATATTTCTTTGGGTGTTTTAACACTAGTCAACAGAATTTTCCTCATGGCAGTGTCATTGTCATAGAAGACTGAAATCTGTCTGTGAGACTAAGGAATTTATCCCATTTATTATGGAATTCATTATTCTTGTTCAGTAATACCAAGGAAGTGAATTGAAACGGCATTGTGAGATACTGCAGTTTATGTCTCAAGTGTATGTTTGGTAACTTCAGGAAAGAACTTGAAACCCGAGTTGCTTTAAATGGACCTGAATTTCAAGATGCTTTGTCAAAAGAAGTGGCTAAAGAGGAGCAGAGGCATGAACAGTGTGTTAAAGAATTTCAGGAGAAAATTAACATGTCCTACCAGAAGTACAGAGAGTTAGAAGATGAATTTCGTTTAGCTCTAACTGTTGAAGCAAAAAGGTTTAAAGAGGTAAGACTGAGAGAACATTTAATCTCACATTAGGTGGGGTTGTAGTTCTCTTAAGTGTGTTGGGTTTTGGCACATATTTTGGGGGTGTTTCGGTTATTGGTGTTTTGTTGGGTTGGGGTTTTTTTTGATCCTTATGGTCAAGCATTCATGCAAAAATACTGATAGTAGGCTTTGAAATATTAATGATTAGAGCATCAACAGCGAATGCCAAGTCAGCACTCAAAAAACGTAGCATTTTTGTTCATACGTACAAGTTAATCAAAAGAAAGGAGAATAAAACACTTCTGTCTGGTGTTATTAATTTCTTTTAAAGTATGTCAACATTCTCTTAGAATATATTCAATTATAGTAAAAATGCATGTGTTTTGATAAGGTTATAGTTACATATATACTAGTGTATTTAATAATGAAGTACTTTATTTAACTTTTCAAAATTGAATTTTGGTATGCCTTTTTTAACTCAGAATTCAGAACTTGTTTACTAAACTCCTTAGAGAACTTATTTCTTTGGCTAGTATTTAGATTATTTTATATTTTACCCTTCAAATCTTTCTGCTGGGGAAAAAAAAAGATTGAATTTACTTTAACTCCTTCTTTCAAGATTTTAATGTCAATCTTAACAATGAAATTAAATCAAGGCATTGTTTTCAGTTCCCAAGCTCTGCTTCCCATCCACTCATGTGGTTTTTGTATTGTTTTTTGAGGGGGGGGTTGATTGATTGGTTGGTTTGGCTTGGGTTTTTTGTTTGTGTTTGGTTTGTTTTGTTGGGTTTTTTACAAATATGGAGCTGGGCAGAACCAGTTTCAAGTTGAAGTATTACCAACAAACCAGTAAAAAACCAGTTTCAGATATTCACTAATTTGATATACAGTTGATAAATTTCTATTTTTTTCACTTGGAATTTAAATGTCACTTGTGTTTATGTATATACACTTTTTCCAAATGTTAGCATTTTTCAAGTCTTGTCTTACAAAACTTTAGGTAAAAGAGGGTTTTGAAAATCTTTCTGCTGATCTAGTTAAACATAAGCGAGCCCTCTTTGAGTCTGAACAAAGGGAAAAAGATATGGCAAGTCTGATCCAAGACCTGACAAGTATGGTAGAAGAACAGAAAGCAAAGATTGCAGAATTAACAAAATCAAATGAAGAAGCTACAGCAAACCTAAAGGTACTTGTTTCAAAACACTTCAACTACATATATATTTTTTTTCATATTTCATCCATAAAAGTTAATGATTCCATAAAAGGTTGACTGACTGAAAGACACATTTTCTGTCGCTTTAAAACCTAGTACTCCACATCAGCCATTATTCTTGCATCTTCAACTTCTATTTCTCAACAAATCCTGCTCCCTATATGGAAGAGGACTAGTCGTGTTTTCAAACGTGCACTCCTTGCCTTGGGAGCATTGGCAGTTTGTATATAATCGGATGGTCAGTCAAAACTACAAAACCTACATTAGTAACCCTGACTCCTTGTAAATTCAAAGGAATGGAATATGCTTCTGCATTGGTCACTGTACATGCAGTAAAAATTAAATTGAACAGATAATCCAGTGTAGTTATTAGCATCTTAATATCTCCTAGTTGCATAACATTAGCAGTATTATTCATTATCTACTAATTGTCAAATTTTAATGTTAAATACTGTGGGCACAGTTGCTTTGTGGTAATGTATTCTAGTACTATTCAACCAGCCATAAATAATTTTTAAAAATCTCAGGAACATGACTTTTAAATGGATGTATGATTCAGTCCATGTACGTATCCAGTCCCCCTTTGTGCCAAAACTTGGGTGCAGTACAACTGCTGCACAGTTGTTTCTAGTCTCCTCCCTCCATGTTGCTTGTTGGGGTGTCCAAACATTGTGTTGGTATACAGAATAGGATTCTGCCAGTCAGTGATGCTGCTAAGAACAAGATTGAAAAATACCTATATTAAATAGCTGTAATCTGTAAAACAAAATGTAGACTGCATAATTGAAGATAAGTATCATTGGAAGTGAAAATTCATCCCAGTTCTGTCTGTTTCCTTATGATTTGGTTTTTAATATCTTTAGTTTCTCTTTCTTTTTTTTACCTGTGAATTTGTGATTCTAAATAGGTTTTTATAATGGCATTGATAATTTAGGGTAGTTATCTAGAAATCAGCTTTACAGTTTTCTGGGATTAAAGTATCTCTACTTGAAGCAAATTTGAGTTTCATAACTGGAAAGAAATGCATATAGAACCCTGAATGCAAGCAGAATATTTCTCAGTTAATTTGCTGTATATAAGTATTACTTTCCTAACCAGGAAATCAATTAGTATTGATTTGAAATTTTGAATACTTGTTTTAAAGGATCTTATTGTCTTTTTCCAATGTTCATTCATACAGCGTCGAACTCGAGAACTTGAAACTGTGACTGAGGAGGACAAACAGAAGGCCATTCAAGTTGAACTTCTAAAAAAGGAAAATGGAAAACTTACTTCTCAGCTGACAGCCCAGGAATCTGTGATTGATGGGTTAAAAATGGAAAGAAAAATATGGGGACAGGAGCTGGCACAACAGGGTAAAATAGTTTTGGGGGGATTTTTTCTTTTGCAGAAAAAATGGTGGTGCTCAGTGTCTTACCTCTCAAATAAACACTCCAGTAGAGTGGTAATCATGACAAGGTTTCTGGCTCTTATCTAGTTGTAGAGTTGGTGTGCAAAAACAGATGTTCTGTGGCACATGGGATCTGTAACAGCAGTTGTGGGAGTTGGTTGCGAATACAGCTTATCTATTTCCTGAAAATATCAAAATACCACAGTGTTATACAAAGAGCTTTTAAATATGAAACTAGGAGAACAAAGATTTGTAAACAGAGTTATATAATGCTACTTTTCTATCAGATAAGTCTAATGTGAAAATTTCAGTATGTATCTTAAAAAAGTATAAAATACTGAAGGGGGGAAGAAAAACTTGGGCATTTTTCATTTTTCTCTATTCATGTGACTCAGCACCACCTTGTGGGCTCTTGAGATTGGCTAGATCTGTAAGAACTACTGCTGACTTTTTTCAGAGAAGTTTTCAAAGGATAAAACAGAGACCTTCAGTTCTACACTTGCTACCTAAGTGTTACCTACCTACAGATTAAATCTCTACAGTGTTTCCAATGGACAAAATAGTCAATGGTTTGGTTTGTAAGGTGGTTCTTACCTTCACCTCCACCCCATTTCCCAACATTCTACATCTTGAAGTCATCTGTAAAATGAGCACTGTAGTATGAATATCCTGTTTCATCTAGGAGCTCATCTTGCTCAAGATCGGGGAAAACTGGAAGCTAAAATTGAAGTTCTGACAAATGAGATTGAGATGTTAAAAAAGCAAAAGGAACAGGACAGTGATACCATAAGAATTAAAAACAAAATACTGGATGATCAGACAGAAACAATTAGGAGATTGAAAGAAGTAAGTGCCACATCTGACAATTTTTGTACTTTACTTTCACTGCAAGTCTTAATTTTAGCAATTGTAAAGGCTGTAATGAAAGCTGGTCCTGCAGTCCTTGTTTACCAACTCACAAATCACAATCAGGCTGTCAGTGGCAATTCATTTCACTGAGAGCAGAAGAGAGGTTTTTTTTTAAATTCATGTTCATGTACAGAAGTGGTACTTTGAATCTCTCATTGAACCATATTTATGTACAGACTTTATTCTCTTTGCCTTGCTTCAAATTATTCTTGAAAATGATTTTGAGAGAGGTGAAACCCAGATAGTATAATTCTTCCTGAAAAAGGAAAAACAATTTTAAATGTTTGCTTCATGTTTATTTTACAACAGGTAAATGTTTTTTTCTTTATTCTGTTCTTTTAAATCAATATTTTGGCAGCAGAGGTACTATGTTTTGTTCTATTAATTCCATTCATTCATTAAGAGACTTAAAACTTTAGCTTATTAATCAAAATTTATAGCATGTTATGTCAGTCACAGTTAGATGCATTACTCGTTACAGATTGTGAACTCAGGGACTGTGTAGAATAGATTGTTCAAAAGAATAAGTTGTTTATTCAACTGTAGAATAAGAGTTCAAAATAACTTTTTTCTTAACTTGCTTTCAACTTCAGATTTGTTTTGGTGGTTTTTTTTTTTTACTCTGACTTTTTTCAGAAGAAGATTGATCAACTGGCTATCACCTTACTGAGTGTTTTTCATACATTCAGAAGAGTAAACTTTCACATGTCCTTCTCTGCTTTATTCTACCGTAGACTAAACAAATACTCTTAAATTGTAACAATAAATTTAAGAGTGTTTATGTGTACTAAAATATTTATCTTCTAAAGGGTTTACAAGAAAAAGATAAACAAATCAGAAAACAGCATGAAGAAAATCGTGAAGCTCAGAAATTGTTTGAAGTAGAGTTGGATGAAAAAGCTGCTGAATGTGAAAAGCTAATGGAAAAATTAGAAAGGCAGAATGAAAGAAAAGAGGAATTAAAGCAACTGCTAGAAGAAAAAGAAGTAGAACTTGATGACATTAGGCATGCACACAGGTGATACAGACAAGTCAATAATTCTTTGGGATCATTGTATGCAACACTGCTCTGAAGTTATTCTATGTTCAGAGAGTATTTGCTTGCTATTAAAACCCACAGAAATGAGGAAAAATGGAAGTTTTTTCTGCCCTCCTAAGAAGTGGTATTTATAGTCGTTGTAAATACGTGCATTTTATTTTCAGCGCATTGAAAAAGAGGTGGCAGGGTAAAGGAGAGCTCTTAAGCCAGCTGGAGGTGCAGGTTAAACAAATGAAGGAAAACTTTGATATCAAAGAGAAGAAGCTGATTGAAGAGAGAAATAAAAGTCTTCAAACTCAAAGGTGAATACCTTAATAGTTAATCTTGTGACTACTCAGTTACTGTAGAGTTTCACTGTTAATAAGTATACAAAAAGGTTTGATTATATGGCAAAAGAATGCATAATAAGTACTTGTGAGCCCAGTTACAAACTCTGTGTGCCTAGAAGGAATTCTCACTATACAGATGATGTACTTTGTGGAACTGGCATTCACTTACAGCATTCGTCATTTAAACTTATTAGTTCTGTTTCCATTTTCTTTGATAATGACTGGAGCCTACACTCGTTCCTCCCTACTATACCCATTCCATCCCAATGCTTTTGATTTACCTTGTGAGTAAACTCCATGTCACTTACATAACAGAGACTCTTCTACAGCGATCACACATGCTGGCTGGAGCTGTACAGTGAAGATGTTTGTGCGTGTGAGGCACAGTCTGTATCAGAGTTTCTTTGAGCATGAGCCTGCCAACACTCTAGCTCATGACCAGGATGCATGGAACAAATTGATTGCAAATCAGAGATCAAGCCAAGCAATGGTGGCTGGTGTACAAGGGAGGCCACGGTGCTTTCACTAATTTCTGTGCAGGATAAAGTAAAAATACGTCATTCGCTGTGTACGAAATGGAGGACAGATCCTCAATACTTACCACAACAATATTAATAAATCATAGAATTATTTAGGATGGAAAAGATGTTTAAGATCCATCAAATCCAATCATTAACCCAGCACTGTAAAGTCCACTACTGAACCATCTCCCTAACTGCCACATTTACAACTCTTTCAAATTCCTCCAGGGATGGTGAAATCAGCTACTTCCCTGGACAGTCTGTTCCAATGCTTGACAACCTTTTCAGTAAAAAAATTTTTCCCAATTCCAATCTAAACCTCCCCTGGCACAACATGAGGCCATTTTCTCTCATCCTGTCACTTGTTACCCTCCTTTAGGTAGTTGTAGAGAACATTGAGGTTCCCCTCAGGCCTCCCCTTCTCTAGGCTAAACAACCCCAGCTCAGCTGCTTCTCATGAAACTTCTGCTCCATACCCTTCACCCGCTCTGTTGCCCTTCTCTGGACATGCTCCAGCACCTCAATGTCTTTCTTGAAGTGACCTCACCAGTGCTGAGTTCAGCGGCACAATCACTGTCCCGGTCCTGCTGGCCACACTATTTTTGATACAGGCCAGGATGCTGTTGGCCTTCTTGGCCACCTGGGCACCCTCCTGGCTTGTGTTCAGCCACTGTTGACCAGCACTCCCAGGTCCTTTTCTGATGGGCAGCTTTCCAGCCACTCTGCCCCAGTCCTGTAGTGCTTCCTGGGGTTGTTGTGTCCCAAGTGCAGGATCTGGCACTTGGCATTGTTTAACCTCATACTGTTTGCCTCAGCCATCAATCCAACCTGTACCGATCCCTCTGAAGAGCCTTTCTGCCCTCCATCAGATCAACATTCCTGCCTAACTTACTGGCTGTTAATCAGTATTCCAGTCCATGTCAAACGGACTGTTTCTAAGTTACCTGTCATTCTCTTTGCGTACAAGTAGCAACAGATTTTTAATTTATTTTCTTGTTCCTCATGTATGGTCAATTTTTTTGGATCAATAGTTAAATATGAGATGATGCAGAAACAAGTACTCATAACCCAAAAAATTATTTCATATGCTTCTGGTATTATGGAGAAGTGTGCTAGACTGCTGCCTGTGATAAGCTTAGATTCGCAGTATGATTTTTTTCTTTATTCTTTGGCTTCCTTCTCATGTTTTTCTTCCTTCCTCCCAACTATTCTTGAGAAAATACCAGCTAGTTAATAAGACTACATATTTATTATATTTATCTAGCAGCAATAACCATGTTACCAAAGGAATAGCTATGACTAAGGTTTTTTTGCTTTACATTTTAAGTTAAACACTGACTCATTATACATTAGTTGCTATTTTAAGGAAGGTTATCTGATTAATAAATGAAAGGAAATAGCTTGATGGTCAAGTTTGATTAAAAACCAAACAAAAACAAACGACAAACAAATAAACAAAAAAAACCCAGCCAAAACCAACCTCCTCAAATAATCAATAATTGTTTTGGAATAATGGTTTTGGAATTGTTAGACAATCAATAGTGGAACTGAGCTTTTTTTCCAAATAATTCTGGATTGTTTCAAACGTTTGTTGTAAATTAATTGTATAGTTCCAAATAATTCTGGATTGTTTCAAACATTTGTTGTAAATTAATTGTATAGTAGAAAAATTTGCCTTGCTTTTTGTTCCTACATATTTTAGAGTTATCCCCTAAAATTTGCTTGAGTCAAGAAAATGCTTCACTACTGTGAAGCAGACACTTTTCTGTTGCTGTCAGAGAGGGTCAAACGCCATTTACAGGATCACGCAGTTCAGTCATTCACTTCTTGGGAAGCAAAAGCATAAAAGTAGATATTTGAAAACATGTGAAGTTCTTATCTATATTGACAGTAGCAAGCCCGAATCTTCATAGTCCTTGCTAGTGATTAAATGCTTCTACTAAGAGGAATGCCAGAAGCCCTGAACACAGTGCATAAAACCAGAACATGTACTTGAGAAAACAGGACATCTTCTAATGCTGATATTGATAGAAGTGTCTTTGTGCCTATGTTATTAAAACCTTATCAAAGGCAGAACTGGACAAAGCAAAATACTTCAGTTGTTTGCAGGAGCATGATCTCTTTTTTTAATCATTTTTAGGATTGCTGTGGAAAAGCTTCATGAAATGGATAATGCTTTTAGAAAAAAACTTGAGTCAATGTTGGCAGCACATCAGGAAGAACTACTGCAGCTGGCAAATGAAAAGGAAAAACAAATTGAAGCAGCAAATGAAAAGGTAATTTTAATACTAAATGCATATGTTTATTGTATTTGCATTTTTATTCTACAGCCACTACAACAGTGGTGGTTGGAAGTCTGTTTGTATCTATCCATCTGATCTCTGAATGGAAACAGCCCTGGTTTGGTACTCAATCTTTGCACAGCAAGAAAATCTCTAGAACTAGTATTCCAGCAAAGTAAAGCTCCATGCTTTGTAGCTGTTACGAATATAACACTTCCTTATCTATACAAGCAAGAGTAATGATGATTAAGCCAGATAATCCTTTTAACTCACCTGTGCCAATGTTAACAGTTACTGTTCCTGTCGTATACTGCATTCTTCCTTGGCATGACAACTGGTGCTTTTTCTCCATAATAAGTTTTCTGTTTTTCATGCATTCTTGCTATCTCCTAGGAGGTTAATATTTTTTTTAAAGCAAAATTCTGCTACTGCATCCAACGTCAAGAGTAGTGCGTTGCATATTTAAACATAAGCACATAACTCTTGCATTGCTTATAAGTGTTAAAAATTGCCAAGATTTTATGGGTTTAGGTTTATTAAGAAAAGCAAAAATTTTATTTGATCTCTGTGTGCTCTTTCAGGTTTACTCTGTTGAAGAAGAAATGCGGGAGCTTCTGCGGGAAATGGCAAACAATAAAAAAGCCATGGAAAATAAAATACAACTACTTGCCCGTGCACTGAATGATATTCAACAAGATCTTTGAAGATTATTAATATTTACTCTAAAAACATGTATTACACAAGTTTAAGCAATTTCATACACTACAATGCACTTTTCCTTGTTTTCTAGAGAATTGTCTTTGTTGTTTATTTTGGTGGTTCAGGGATCAGACATAAATGTTTTTATGTCATATTCATAATAAATAGTTATTTCTAACCTTTGGTTATCTTTAATTGATTACAAAATGGATCAAAACAGGTATAGGTGAAAAGCATCATATGAAATTAGGAATTTGCATGTTTAATAAGAGAAAAGAAAGTTGGAAAGTTCTAAGCCAAGAGCTTGAAGCTTTGCTTCACTGGGGTAAAGAATCTTGTAATGAGAGATCCAAGAATGTTGAATCATAGAATGGCTTGGGTTGGAAAGGACCTTCAAGATCATCTAGTTCCAACCCCCCTGCCATGAACAGGGAACCTCCTGCTAGATCACGTTGCTTAGAGCTTCATCCAGCCTGGCCTGGAACACTTCCAGGGATGGGGCATCCACAGTTTCTCTGGGCAACCTGTTCCAGTGCCTCACCACCCTCACAGGAAGGAATTTTTTTCTAAAACTACTCTCAGTTTAAAACCATTCCCCTTTTTCCTGTCACTACACGAGAAATAGACTCTCTCCATCTTTCTTGTATCTGTGAAGTTTAATCTGCCACTGTTGAAGAATGCATGACTACTGCAACTTAGAGTGGCTCTCTTGGCAGCGTAGTTTGGTTTTCTCTACAGCAATAGGCTTCCCACCATGCTTTTGAAAAATAGGAGATAATGACCTAACAGCTTCTTATGGAAGCAAATCATAAGCCTTATGTTAATATATTGTTGTACTTCTTTCATGATGGAGGCTTAACCATCACCACTGTACTTAGGCATTTACTTCATTTGTTTGTTCTCAGAAGATCCTAAACTGTTACTGAACTACACTGTACTCAGAAGCGTTTCATGATGCACTAGTAAATAAAACAGTGAGTAGTAAAATCGGGTACTTTTTGGCAGACCAGGTGGAGCTGTTCCCACCTTGCACCTCACAGTAGTTGAAGTGCTGTTGCTCCAACGATAGAAGCTACTAAGCCGATTTAATCAGCTCGTTCAGAACCCGAGCATTCAAGCAGTGCCACTGCATCTGTATGTGCCTTTTTGTGCCCAGCAGTCCTGTAAAAGTACTTAGTGCTAGTAAAAGGCCCTGGCCTTTAGCTATGAGGCCCACTGGACTTGTTATCAACGTGTTAATGAAAGCTTGTTGTGTGAACTGGAGCTTGATACCAGCTGCCTCTTGTTATGAGGTCCAGCTTAAGTGTGGGATGTAACAAAGGCCTTGAAAACACAGGCACAAGTTGAAAAAGTAGAGGCCATGGCAGCAAAAACAACTTTCTGATGGTCAGTGACTGGTCTTTCACAAAGCACAACCTTGAGAGCTGGGAACAGACTACTTTTGTTTTTAGAATGGAAGCAGCAGCAAAGCAAAATAAAAGGCAGCCCAACACCTGAATGAGGTGCCTGCAACAGCCTGGGAAAACAACCCCCACTCCACAGGTTGAAGGTGGAGGGCTGGAAATTGTATAGAGATTATAAAAGGGTAAAATTCCAAACTGGGGGGGGGGGGGGGGGTGACGGGACATAACACACAGAGAAAACAGGCACCTGCTTCAGCTCTGGCTCCTTGCATCTGGAGTTCTCACACCTGACCCATGAGAACACCATGAACAAGCCATCAGCACTGAAGGGGAGGTGTCTGCACTGTGGTAGTCCCAGCTCAGGTAGAATAGAGCTGTTAAGGATTGTTCACTTGGAATCTGTGCTATTGGTTGATGATATGTAAAAATTAATACATAGTGGCAATGGTTAGCAAGGTGTAGGAACCAACTCTAATTAACCAATTGTGTTAATGAATGTTAGTCCAGTAAATATTGCTGTGAACTTTAAAATTAGCCTAATTTATTCTTCTAGCAGAATCCTTTATCTGCTAGGTGATCTCTTGATTCCCTGATACCAATATATCAGTTATCTAAAGGCAGAAGAAAATTATTCTTGTGCTCTACACACTCCTTCAGAAACTGCAGTATGTGAGGAAATACTCACTTGGAAAACTGGCCTATAGTATTTTCATGGGTATCACTGGTGCAGAAAAGTTGCACCACTTGAGAGTGCATTGTCATGTTTATCTAGTATTTCCTTGAGCATTTCTTTTTTCTTTGCTTATTATTTGACCAAGCTACACTTTGGGCGAAGTAATTGAGTAACTGGAATGCACCATGAAGTTGAAAGAACTTACTCTTACCCTAATTCAGTGTACTAGTATCTCCTCTGAGTTTTTACTCCAAAATATTTGTTCTGAAACTTTTCTGATTTCATCAGAGGGAGTTGTTACAATTTTTAGTATAAATTCTTTCTATTCCTTGCTCTTAGCTCAGAAATCTCATACTGCAGTACTTGAGTACATGCACGTGTTAGTACTGCTTGGAATGTTTGTTTTTCTTGTGGCTAACTGGCATCATTTCCCTCTTTATGCTTACATGGCTCCCTTAGAGCTTTTTAATAAGCATTTAAATGATTTCTAGCTTTGAAAGGTTAAAACAATAAAAATGTGGTGCAGGTGAAAGCTGTGCCAAATTTACCAATTCGTGAGGATGAATTTTAATCTGACATTACTGTAAGGTAAAAATTAATAAATAGATAAAAATATAAACAAATTGGAAACTCTGACCTCATCAGATGCAAGGCATGCTCTCATGCATTAATCGTGACAACTTAAAATCAGTTCTGCTCTGTTAAGAACTGGCTGGAGGGACGGGCCCAGAGAGTGGTGGTGAACGGTGCTGCATCCAGTTGGCAGCCAGTCACTAGTGGTGTCCCCCAGGGATCAGTGTTGGGCCCAGTTCTGTTTAATATCTTTACTGATGATCTGGATGAGGGGATCAAGTGTACCATTAGCAAATTTGCAGATGACACCAAGTTGGGGGGGAGTGTTGATCAGCTGGAAGGCAGGAGGGCTCTGCAGAGGGACCTGGACAAGCTGGAGAGATGGTCTTGTTGAACATCATCCCGTTGGAATCAGACCAAGTGCTGGGTCTTGCACTTTGGCCACAACAACCTCATGCAGGACTACAGGCTGGGCACAGAGTGGCTGGAGAGCAGCCAGGCAGAAAGGGACCTGGGAGTTTGGATTGACAGGAAGCTGAACATGAGCCAGCAGTGTGCCCAGGTGGCCAAGAAGGCCAGTGGTATCCTGGCCCGTGTCAGGAACAATGTGGCCAGCAGGTCCATGGAAGTGATTCTTCCCCTGAACTCAGCACTGGTGAGGCCACACCTGGAGTACTGTGTCCAGTTCTGGGCCTCTCAGTTCAGAAAGGATATTGAGGTGCTGGAGAAAGTCCAGAGAAGAGCAACGAGGCTGGTGAAAGGACTGGAGCACAAGTCCTATATATTAGGCTGAGGGAACTGGGGTGTTTAACCTGGAGAAGAGGAGCTCAGGGGAGACCTCATCACTCTCTACAAGTACCTGAAAGGAGGTTGTAGCCAGGTGGGGGTTGGTCTCTTTTCCTAGGCAACCAGCAGTAGGACAAGAGGGCATGGTCTTAAGCTGTGCCAGAAGAGGTTTAGGTTGAATATTAGGAAAAAAATTTTTACAGAGCAATCAGACATTGGACTGGGCTGCCCAGGGAGGTGGTGGTCCCTGGAGGTTTTTAAGATGAGATTGGATGTGGCACTTAGTGCCATGGTCTAGTAACCACGGTGGTGTTGGATCAAAGGTTGATGATCTCGGAGGTCTTTTCCAACTTGATGATCTCGGAGGTCTTTTCGAACTCGGCTGATTCTATGATTTTATGATTCCATCATTAGATTTTGTTTTCATTTCCTGACAAGGTAATGGATCTGTTTTAATCAATATTGAGTATGTAATCTGTTAGGAAATTCCTGTTACTTGGTACCAGGGGCACTGTGATTCCAGGTCCAGAGAGCATGTGTAACTGCTTGCTCCTATACATACCCATACTGCCCTGGACATGCTGTTACCTGTGCAGGTACAGGTCCTGTGTGACACAGCACCCCCGGTGTGATGTGCTCCACTGCCTCCTGTGATGGTACCTAAGGGTCTTCTCCCGGCAGTATTTCTTCCTTCAAGTGCATCCCTTGAATTCTTATGCAGTGTGGACTTTCACAGCTTCTCTAGTTTTATCTACTTTTTTTACTGAGGGAAAGAGGTGTACCTGCAGGAAGGTTAAGGCCGAGTGTATTTAGACACGAGTGCAAGGGACTGACTAAGCATCCGAAATTCCCTGTGCCTCTCGCCAGACCATCAGCGCGTCCTGTGCCTTGATCTCGGGAGATGTGAGAACACAGTTTACAATTAACCTAAGCGCTGCTATATCCAATGCAAGCGGTGAGATGAGTGACACGGAGCTGTCGTGCCGGGGACAGGCAGGCGCATCTGGCACTCGGGCCGGTCGCCGAGTCCCCGTCCCGTCCTGAGGCGGACTCCGGGCCTGCGCCACCCGTCCTGGGGGAGCCTGAGCGAAACTCGGCCCAGGCCGTGGCAGCTCAGTGCGCTCTCTGTCTGCGGGGCCCGGCCCGGCCCGGCCCCTGTTCCCCGGCCGCAGCGGGCCCGTCCCTCGCCCCCCGCGGCCCAACACGCCGCTTGTCCCGGCAACGGCGGCCGGCGTCACTTTCTTGCGGTGCCGCCCCTCCTCCGCCGCCGACTGTGGGCCGGCGGCGCGCTCCTCGCTCGGGCCGTTTGCTGTGGCGGAAGGCGGACCACGTGGTCCCCGCGGCGGCATGGCCGCGTGCTGGCCGAGGCGGAGGTGCGGCAGCAGCAAGCCGCCACAGAGAAGAGCCTGGGGCTGCTGAACCACCAAGTTTTCGTGTCGCTTGCTGCAGGATGGCCAGGACGGCGTGCTGGACTCAATAGCGGTTTTTGCGGGGCGGGGGGTAAGGCCCGCGGCACACGCCGTGCTGGGGGGCGGGCGGCGCAGCGCGGGGGCCGGGCTGGGCCGCCCGCGACCTCCACACCGGGACCTCCACCGGCCAGTGACGGGCTGAGGGATCCCGGAGGTGGCTGACAGCCGCCGCGATCGGCTAAAATACGCGTCCCGGCTCTTTGTCAGTAGGGTATAATGGGTACCGTGCATTAAATATAACTTATTGAGGGTGTTTTTATTCACTGTGTCCAGTTTTCGGCTCCTCAGTTCAAGAAAGAGAAGGAGCTACTGGAGAGGGTCCAGCAGAGGGCCGCAAAGATACTGAGGGTCTGGAGCATCTCTCTTATCAGGAGAGACTGCGGCAGCTGGGCCTTTTTAGTCTGGAGAAGACTTGAGAGCAAATTCATTAATGCATACAAATATTTTAAAGGCAGGGTACCAAGAGGATGGTGTGAGACTCTTTTCGGTGGTGCCCAGAGACAGGATGAGGAGCAGTGATCATGAACTAAAACACAAGAAGCTTCACCTCAACGTGAGAAAGAACTTCACACTGAAGGTGGCAGAGCACTGGAACAGGCTGCCCAGGGCAGTTGTGGAGTGTCCTTCTCTGGAGACATTCCAAACCCACCTGGATTCCTGTGTAACCTGCTCTAGGCCCTTGTTGGGGGTTGGACTAGATGATCTCCAGAAGTCCCTTCCAACCCTAATGATTTTGTGGGGTTTTTTTTACTGCACTACATTGCTCTCTGCACTGACTCTGTATGGACTGCTGTTTAAACCTGTTTCTCACCCACCCCCTTGATGTTCTCTTAGCAAGAGAAAACCATGTTGAAAACCAGACCATCTCCTTGTTATTTTTTATTATATGTGTATGAAAGATGCTGAATTGGCAGGGTAGGTGGCAAATCATCATCATCATGCCCCTCTGCAGCCAGCCTGCCACCTCTGATGCATGAGGGCATTTGGGCCGCGGTGGCTGGAACATCTTCCCAGTGATGCCAGGGGACCAGCCTGCCTTGGCCAGGTGCTTGTGCTAGGAAGTCGTTCTGTTGCAGGAGGGATTGTTGTGCAGCTTACTTTATTGTCTGTCATGTGCTGAGAGATGTTCCAGGTCAGTCTGAGAAACAAAACATACTCAGTTTGTAAGACATTGGGCCAAAAAGCTTGGCCTTAAAGTGCAAAAGAGGATTGATTTGAACAATGAAGTTGGGCTGAAGCGGGATGGAATAGTGTTTCTGGTTCTCTCTAGTGAGAAAGGTACCTACTCAGAGGGAATGGGTTGGTGGCACTGCAACCAGTTACAGACATTTCTGCTCAAGGCCCGCTGGAGACTCGTTTCTGAATTTGCTTTGTTGGAAGTAAATATGAACTACAGTGCATAAACCGTTGGTATTTCCATAAACAGCGAGTCAGAACATACATTTCTGTTAGTGCTTTTCTCATAAATAAGCTGCATATCTAAGGAAAAATAAAAAGCACGAGGCATGTGTGTGTTATGTCAGTGTGCTCAGGGAACTGAAGAACAACAGGCCAGTCTTGAAATGGAACGGAGTGTTCCAAGAAACAATCTGTGCAGTGAAAACCCTCAGGTGTCTCCCTGCTGATGGGTACTGACCATCTGATGTGCTGCAGGTTAGTATTTTCTGTAGCAAAACCAGCACTAGGAAAAAAATGTAATTTGGAAACAAATGTGTTTCCAGCTTTGTGATTTAGCAATTGAGAAGGAAAATCTGTTTCTGGGACATTTTCTGGTGATCTTTGAATACATCTATAAATATAGCTTACTGGTCTGGAAGAGGACACTTTGGAAATGTTTTAGTGCTGGACACTTCTCTGGTAACATCTGACAAATTGTGGGAGTGAAAGTGAGAATTTACTTGAAGTTTGAATTTTACAGTGTTTACTTTAAAATCGAACAGCTATTCTAGAATAATGATGTAACTGTCACTGAATAACCCTGTATAAAAAATCTAGTTATGGGATTAAACTTAAAACATTAAGGGATGAGATAGAAAAGAAAGAAAACAAAGTTCCTATCTGCAGCAACCCATGAATTGCAGGGAAGAGAGAAAAAGAGCAAGATGAGTGAATAAGGGATAAACCACCTGAAATGAAGCCCAAAAAATCATGTATTCTTTCAGTTCATAGCATACAGTTGCTTCTGCCTTGATTTCTTAAAGGGGCTTTGTTTTTGGCAGAATGCCATCCCTACTATAATGATGGTTAAGTAGTGTTCCTGATCATCAGTGCAAAAACATCAGGTATTCTAAGATGAACTTCTTTTTAGAAGTGTATTGATCAGGTGCAAATAACAACTTTCTTACACTTGCCCTACTCCACAGAAGAAAAACAGCCCGCCCATTAGATTTTACATTCCCTTAGTCTTTATGAATGCGATGATATTCAGTACTTATACTTACAGGTTGACAAGAACACCATCCAATTTAAAACTCCCACCAAACTGTTGTTAGCCTTCTTGGGGAGAAAATGTCATCTGCTAGTGGCACAGTGCAGAAGATGCAGGACCTCTTTCCTTTGACACTTGGCGAGCAAGCAGTCATTGCTGCCTAGTACTTTGTTAAGCTTCTTAATAATCACTCTGCCACGGTGTTCTATCCAATTCTTCTGCTCTTCGGATGTTAACACAGCAGATTTGCAGCTGATGATTCATGGTGCCTTTTGTCAGTTCTCAGGGAGCAAAGTTGTGTGAGGGCACAGACTCTCAGTTGCCTTTTTTTCTGGCTGGTGGTTTTATTTCTGGGCACGGTTTTGTGTGTCTCTGTGCATGCCTGCAGCTGGAACTGTGCTGAGCAGTGTGTTTTCTGTATTCCAGGAGCTGCACAAGCTGAATGCACACAGCACTGAAGCCCAGTGCTTATACGTTTTTCTTCTAGCTCTGTGAGACACTCATATAGTGTTTGTCTTGAATACATACGTAGTTAAAGTATGAAGAGATACTAGGAGAAATTACTAGAGTTCAGCAGTTTTACATTAGGAAGATTTTATGAAGGAACTCCAAATACAAATGATTCAGAGGAAGGAATGTGGAAGCTACATCCAGCCATGTTAGCAGGGCTGTTGTAGATGTCCCTTTCTTTACACAGGGTGAGAAATGATGTGTTTTAACAGTATTTTTGACAACAGGAGATTTGTCTCTTAGTTATTGAAGTCACTAGTGGGTGGTTTGTGTGGAAGACTGACCCATGTGCCTACCAGAAGGTGTCGCACTGATAACGCTAGAATGTCAAAGAGGAACTTTTCAATTCTTTTTAGAATATCTGTGAAACAGCCTGTTAAATTTTTAGAAGATCATTAGATTACAAGATGAGCACCAGAAAGGTAGTGAATGGCTGGATTAAACCTCCCAGTTTGGGAACTGGCCCCAGCTTCTTTGTTGGAATTCTTGTTTTAAGTAGTTGAACTTTGTAGCAGTGATTGAATTATATACAGGGCTAGTCACACCAAATACATATGTAACTGTGTCCTTCATTTTCCTATGAAATAAACCCCTGTCCTGGGGTTCCGGAGCTTGGTTTGCAGCAGTGGTAAATTTCTGCTGCTGGTGTTAATGGAGCTGTGCTTTGGGCATACAAAATGCAATAACATTTAGAGTAGAACAGTTACTCCAACTTTGAAACATCTGGAATTGGGTACTCAAAATTAGTGACTTTTATTTAAAGTCTTAAGCTTTGGTATCATAGCTACAAATTTATGTACATTGGTATTTTTTACTACCAGCACATCTTGAAAATACATTAAGATTAATGAAGCATTTACATTTTGTAGACAGGCCTTTGAGAAAATTTCAAGAGGCAATTAAATTTGTCTGCAGAGCAGTTTTTTCATTGTTCAAACTAGGAGCGGTAGACTAAGTTCTTGGTCAATATGTAGAGCAATGGGAAGAGAGCAGAAAGTTGAATAGCAGCTGTTTAAGTGTATGTTGTTCATTCGTTGCACTGAATAATGTAAACAGCGTATAAAAATTGTGCCTCTGAAGACTGTGAGATACATGAGGTGCTGATTAAACATTGTACAGATGGCATCAGTTTTGTCACTGTCTAGATTCTTAAGGTTCTCTTGCAGTCCTTGGAAGCAGTGTGTATGTATGCAGCAAAAATAGCAGGTTAAGATAGCATGTGCATACCTGCTGATACAAGTGATTGAAGAGCCTGTTTCTTTGGAGAGAACTGAACTGTGCGCTTTTTATGTATTTGCATGTATTCTGTTTGATAAGAAAAGATTTTAGCAGACTGTTGCAGAAGACCATATGAAAGATAAAT